ATCAAACTGGAGATGGAATCCATTGACCAGCAGCTGGATCCCTATGTACATGATGAGGACGACCCATGTGTCAGAGAAATAGAGGCAAAACGAGCTCAGGCTGTCAGGCAGTTGTTTGAGAAAATTGCACAACAAAGAAAAGAGTTCATCAGCCTTCTTGCAGAAGAGTGTATTGGGTTAATGGGTCCCCTTCCCTGTAAGTATGCCCTGATAGGTTTGGGTTCACAGGCCACAGGACTGGCAACTCCATACTCAGACCTGGAGTTTGCCATCTTGGTAGAGAAAGAAAGTGAAGAATGTATTGTGTATTTCCGCAACCTCACCCACTATCTACACCTCAAGGTGGTCAACCTGGGAGAAACCATTCTCCCAGCATTGGGAATAAAATCTCTCAATAACTTCTATTCCAAGAATCCACTACACAACTGGTACTATGACTCTGTTACACCACGTGGGCTTGCATTTGACGGCTCCATGCCAAAGGCAAGCAAGACTCCACTGGGTAGACAGGGAACCATCAACAACCCATCTAGTGAACTCATCTGCACCCCAGAAAATATGGTTTTGAAGTTACAAAATGACGCCACATTATTCCTGAAAGAAAGCTATCACCTAGCCTCTATCTTGAGAAACCCATGCCTGATCGTAGGAGACCAGGATTTGATTGACACGTACATGGGCATCACAGTAAACACACTGCAAGCGAAAGGGGGTGAAATGGCACGACTATTGGCACAGGAGACATTTTGTGGACATGAACCAGCAAAAGCAATTGGTATCAAAATGTACACTGACGGAATAGATGACCCAGCAAAACTGATTGATGTAAAGAAAGAACTCTATCGCTTCCCAACTGTAGCGGTGGATTACATGGCGCTGTCATCGGGCATCATTCCTTCTACAATCTGGAATACAATAGAAGAAATGGAAAAGCAGCGAGTGATCAGTCCCAGCAATGCGCACCACCTGACAGTGCTTACCAGTATCTCAGCAGAACTGAGGCTCAGGACCTACATTGCAAATGGTGGGCAAAGAGAAAACATGTCTGCATTGTCCCCAAAGGAAGTTGCACTGAATGGACAGGAATGTCCCCTACTGACCGATGACGAGGTGCAAACGAATATGCTGAAACCAGTTTTTCATCTTCCAAATGAAAAACAGCTTTTGCGATACTATTACACAGCACTTCCTCTTAAACTCGTTTTGTCCAAATGGTCTGAAAAGAAGGGTATGCACTTATTCGCTGACTTCTACGATAAGTCTCCTTCAGTGCGGGGAATGATGTACTTCGGTCTTTGCAGGTATAAGCAGGCAATCAGCTACTTTGAAGAGGCTCTTGAGAAAGCCAAAGATACCAAAGTTGAGAAAATGAGTCTGCTGGACAATCTTGCAGCTATTTGGAACAGTCTTGGGGATTATGAAAAAGCAATCACTTACATCGAACAGGCACAACAAACACAGCTGAGCATCTATCGTGAAGGTGCAGTTGATCTTCGTTATTTTCGCTGTATTGCCTCGTCGCTCAACAATCTTGGGCTGACCATGGGAAACCTTGGGGATGAATGGAAGGCTATTAGCTGTTTTGAACAGGCCCTGCAAATAAGGCGAAATATCTATGGTGAGCACGCAGCTCGCCCTAAAATTGCCTCCTTACTCAACTCCCTCGGCATATCCTGGCACAAGTTGGAGGAGAACAAGAAGGCTCTGGATTATTTCGAGGAAAGTTTACAGATGCAAAAGAGTATCTATGGTCCGAATACAGCACATCCTGAAATTGCCTGCTCACTTAACAGCTTAGGGGGGGCATGGGGTGACCTGGGTGATCACGAGAAAGAAATCAACCACTTTGAACAGGCCCTGCTAATGCTTAGGTGTATCTATGGCCACAGCAATGCACATCCCTCCATTGCCACTTTGCTCAATAACCTCGGGATGGCTTGGCTCCGTGTAAATGATCACATGAAAGCAACATCTTACTGTGAACAGGCATTGCAGATGTACAAACGCATCTATGGTCAGACTAATGAACATCCTGGCATTGCATATACATTAAATAATCTTGGCGGCATATGGCACATCCGTGGTGATTACAAGAGATCAATTAGCTACTGTGAAAATGCAATTCAGATGTTGAGGAACATTCATGGTCAGGATACTGTTCATCTTGACATTGCCTGCTCACTCGACAATGTTGGGGTAGTTTGGAGTCACCTTGCCGAAAGAAGAAAAGCCATCAGCTGCTTGGAAAATGCGCTGCAAATGTTCAGAAGCATTTATGGCAAAAGCAAAGCACATGATAAGATTGCTGGCGTCCTCGTTAACCTGGGGGAAGCCTGCAGCGGGTTCACAAAGGGTAATAGGAACGCAATCAGGTACTACGAAGAGGCACTGCAGATGTACAGGATTATCTACGGCCAAACTACCGCTTGTGCTCCTATTGCTAGCTCACTCTTTTGCCTTGGAAAAGCATGGTTTTTCCAATTTGACTACAGAAAGGCAATCAGCTACTTCAAAGAGAGTCTACGGATGTACAGGAGTATCCAATGCCGGACTAAAATAGATTACAATATGTTCGGGCCACTGTTCTGGCAGGGAATCGCATGGTTTCTCCTACAAAACAACAGGAAGGCTTTCATCAAATGTCAACAAGCCTTGACTATGGCAAGGAAACTTGATATTCCGGACAAACACCCATGGGAAATGTATGAAATGGAATCGATGCTCTCCTTTTTCCTTTTAATGTCCAATCAAAATCTGATCAGAAATATCATTCCATCTTCATCATGAATATCAGGAGCCTATGAAATGATTCACTACGGAAACACAAACATACAGACACACCGAAAACGACAGCCTCTGTGTCGAACTTGCTAAACTAGTTATAACTGTTGTGCACGTTTTAATCTGTCTCAGTAGACAATAATAGAGGTAAAACGCCACCAGAAACAGTTACTGTGTCTGGTACCAAAGAATTGCACCCACGTGACAGCATCTACCAATCAGCGCAGTTAAAGATGTCATGTGCCAATCCCTGTACTCGTACTTCTTGATCGGTGTAACTGAGACTTAGAATCCAGGATCAAATGTATGATATATCTACTAATAGATACTTAACGATGGTAACGTGAGAGTGTACGCAGAAGCATAAATATTTTACTTACAATCATAAACTGCAACTTTGATAACCATCATTTATGGATGCAATAAACTGTACACGACAATAGACATGTTTTCTATGTAAATTATAACGTATATCGCTGATAGGCAGACATGCAAGAGCCTGTCTTGCTCACTGTCCATGTCCTTTTAGAAGGGGCCCAAAGTTTGTTTCTGCCTTATAGTCCAGAACCTACAGGAATAAAAATTCATGAAATTTTATTTCATCTAAGTTTGAAGTTTTCATATGTATTTATTTACTTATTTATAACATATTTATATTGGTACTGAACATTATCCGCACAGCATAAACATGCCTGTCCTTGGTGCTGAACATTATACACACAGGTTAACATGTCTGTCCGTGGTACTGAACACTATCTACACAGGTTAACATGCCTGTCCTTGGTGCTGAACACCATCCACACACAGGTGAACCGAACATGCCTGTCCTTGGTGCTGAATACTATCCACACAGCTTAACATGCCTGTCCTTGGTGCTGAACATGATCCACACAGGTTAAAGTGCCTGTCCTTGGTACTGAAAACTATTTACACATGTTAACATGCCTGTCCTTGGTGCTGAACATGATCCACACAGGTTAACATGCCTGTCCTTGGTGCTGAACACTATCCACACAGGTTAACATGCCTGTCCTTGGTGCTGAACACTATCCACACAGGTTAACATGCCTGTCCTTGGTGCTGAACACTATCCACACAGGTTAACATACCTGTCCTTGGTGCTGAACACTATCCACACAGGTTAACATGCCTGTCCTTGGTGCTTAACACTATCCACACAGGTTAACATTCCTGTCCTTGGTGCTGAACACTATCCACACAGGATAAACGTGCCTTTCCTTTTGTTCTTTTTAAGACAAGCAGCTTCTACGGCGTTCTTATCTGTGTATCAGATATCGAAGTTCGAAACTTCTCGGGCTTGTCATCTATATGACTATAACACTGCCAGCTTCTTCAAGATATTAATAAGGAGTCCGTAATTTGTATGTAAAAATACTGACTCAAAACACGGGCTTCGCTGACGGGTGTTGTGTAAATAGAATTCGGTTTGTAACCACTGATTCGAATTCGAAAAGTCAGTTCTGGGACGTACTATGACCATATGATGACCAATGATGACTATCACTCTCCCAGAACTCTCCAAAACCTAGCAAATGATAATTTAAACTTACATTTTTATGTAATATTGCTTAATGAGGTTATTGGTTTACTTTAAATGTGCAAAAGCTTAAGTTACACTTCAATGACATTTATTTTATTATTGTTATTATTGTTGTTATTGTTATTAGATAGCGAATGTAAATAGTTGTTATAATGTTTGTATTTTACAATGTATGTAAGAGGACTCCAGGAAGAGTAGTGGTGGTTATGTTGTCACTAATAGGAGGTTCCTAAAATAAGCAACAACAACCATCCCCGTGCCTGCGCCATATTTTGTTTCACCTTTTTTCCCACAAGATTAATTTTTGGTAAGTAAAATTTACCATCAAATGTGCCTTAAGTCGTATAACGTTAACAAAGCGTTTACTTAATGCAAATTAAAGTAAATAAAAGATCAACCCTCCCTGATAGATTCACAGCTTGGGTAGCAGACTAATTATGTTCAGATGAAATAACTCCCCCATCACGCGCTCTCAACGTCCAATTGACGTGAATTGGTATTTCCTCTCTATGGCAACAGTATTATAATAGCGCCTTGTCCAGAGAGAGACGTATTAGCAGCAGACCTTGAGGGAAGAAGAGAACTACACGGAAGCGACAATACGGAAAATCCTTCCCACGGACGAGAACGGACGGATGACATGACAGAAAATATCACTATGGAGGTTTCGGATACAGACTTGATCGGAAATTCAGACGTTAAAGACGGAAAAACCTTCGAAATCCCGGCTATGGTGGAGAAGAAACCGCAGTTACTGCAGAGGGAGAGCACGAAAAGCACAGGGGCGTCGGCACAAGCGGGTCTGCCGTGTGAAGGTGACGAATTGGAGAAACTTTATGAAAGCAGAAAGACAACAGGTACGTCAACCTTTATGGTTTCTGTAGAACATACAACTGATTGTTTCCAGGTGTGCCATACATCTGCGCTACACACTAGTTTACACGGAGCAAAAATATTATTTGTCCCACGACGATCGACGCGCGGCACCTCACGATTTTTACAGCGTGTAAACAGGCCCGTTTTTTGTCTATTTGTTGAGTATGTCGCTTAAATTTCGGCATCACATTGTCTCTACCAGGCTTCGAGAGACGGCTGGAAAGAGTAAAAATTGGCCAGATGGAGATATAACATGCCGTGGGAGTTGGTCCGCTAGATCTCAGAGAGTACAGTTTGGTTGCGTCAAACATTTACCCTGGCATATTTTCTGTCTATTAGGCCGATTTCTACTTTTTTTCAGTCGCCTCCCGAAGCCTGGTATATGCAGATACTCATTGTTAGCGACGTCGACCTTCGGCTGAATGTGTTGATCAACAGAAGGTCGCCAAAATTAATTTCCGGCTCATACACGGCCGTCGCCATTTGAAACAGTAGAGCCATATCGCAGAACGGCATTAGAACGCTCTGTGAAAACCGTGATTTTTTAATGGCATAGAAGATTATTAGGGTTATAGAATTATCCTTTTCTGACCCGGGTTTGAATCCAAGCCTGTACTTTGTCTTTTTCACTTTTCTTTACTTTTTTTACGATGCTGCCGCGTATATTTACAATTGCAATGTTACAGCTTTTTATACATGATATATTTAAGTTTTTGGATATGGCATCGACCGTTTCATAATACAATGACCGTTTACGAGACCAAAACATGCGTCGCCGAGTTTCTAATTCTCCCTAGAATCATGCGAGCTTTCCGCCTGAAAATCTACCCTGTAACGTTAAGTTGGGCGGGACTCGGTTACCTCAGAACATTTTTTTAATTTAAGCATAAGAAAAAAAGAGCAATGGTGACGTCAAAAGCAATAGTGACGCACTCAAGTTGATAAAAGCTTAATAATAAGCCCAATGGGAACATACATTGGTCGGTCCCTACAAACTGAGCGGCCATCAAGAGCGTACCAGCCACATTCCGGAAGAAAACTTGTTTTTGTACTCGCCGAGGTGTCGGGTGAGCTATGTTTTTTTCTGCTGTATGACGCCGACGTAATATAAAGACAATTTCAGGGCGAGAAAACCAAAGTATTCTGGATGAGAAAATCTGTCTGATATTTACATTTACTTCCATTTCTTAGCACATTTCGCCATCATTTAATTCTTAAGGCGTTTGAAAGAGCCCCAAAAGAAGCTACGTACGCGAGGAGTCCCTTAATTTCTAGTACCACCAATAAATACCTAGAACCAGCTTATGCAAGAAGAAACCGTTTTCTGTCAGCGACATCACATGTTTGTCTCACAGATATCAGTATGCTATGGGATAGGTAGGGTTGATTCAACTATATTTTAAAAAATAACCACAAAATTGAATTGATAATCTAGTTTTACTGCCATGAAATTGCTTTGGGTGCATGTAACATTTGACAGCTAGCCTAGCAGTTCTGATCTAAATCTGACAGATACGTAGCAGGTAAGGCCCTTATCAATGAATAGGTTATGCATAGAAATTATGAGCTGCAGAGACATATGTTTAAAAACGATTTTTCTGATTTATTTTATACAATGATCATATTTAAGTCAAAATCCTCCCCGTTAATTAAATCCTCCTATGTTAATGTCTCTTCTTTTAGTTATTAGCAAGTCGTGTAAAGTGCGTTTCCTATGGCACAAGATTGGTGGAATGGCAGGATTCGAACCCGGGACATCTTGGTTCTGAGCCGACCACTCTGTCGTTACGCCACAAGACCCCAGGACAACTATAATTATTTTTCCACTAATCATTTGCTTCTCTTTACTCACAGTGTCTCCTCCTGATGTGGTTCAACCGGAGGAGTCGCCCCCTCCGCCGCCCGATGTCTCCTGCCGCCCGCCGGACCCGCTGTACGTCAGACGGGCAGGACTCAGGTTCTGGTGCACCAAACGGATCCTCGACTGGCAGAGACAGGCGCTGCGTGCACGGGAGGACCCGGAAGCAGTTCTGAAGCCTGTCCAAGAATATGGCGAAGAGTCTGCCTCGAAGAATGCAGAAATTCAAGCAGGAGTCAATGGCTTTGACCTTGCAGACTTACATGCAGGATGTCTACCAGCAGAGCAAAATGCTACTAAAAGGGCCGCACTTACTAATCACACTGTTGACAAAAGGAAAGGAGATTCGACCAGTCAACTGGACCAGCCACACTTCTCCACGCATATTAACAAGGAATTCCAGACAACACATGGCGACAGAAAACGTCCAATAGGACCGAGAGAGCATAATGAGGACCGCAAAGATCATGAGGACGATAGAGAACACGCACATTACGAGAACGACAAAGAACACGGGCATTACGAAAATGATGGAGAACACGGGCATTACGAAAACGATAGGGAACACGAGCATTTCAAGGACGACGAAGAACACAAATATTACCAGTACGATAAAAACCACGCACTTAACGAAAATAAAGAACACGGGCATTACGAAAATGATGGAGAACACGAACATTATGAAGAACACAAATATTACCAGTACGATAGAAACCACGCACATTACGAGAACGACAAAGAACACGCACTGTACGAGAACGACGAGGAACTGTCGAACTTATCTACGCACGTTTATGCCGATTTGGACCCCGATTTTCTGGCAGCACAAGATGAGATCAAAAACGCCACAGCTCAGCCATTCTATGAGATGGACATCACCCCTCCGGATGAAGAACAAGAACAACCATTTTACAAGATGGATGTCACCGCTGCCAACGACAAACAACAAGAACAACCCTTTTACGAGATGAATGTCGCTTCTAATGATGACAACAATGAAGGAGTCTTCTACAAAATGGACGGTGATCAACTTGGCCAGCCGACTCCGTCAGAGAACGCGTACGAGGATTTAGATGCCGATTTTATCGCAGCACAAGACGTGGTGGACAGGAGACATGGCGGCAAGGAACCGAGCAGGGGTGAGTAACCTGCAAAACTTTCACATTTGTGTACTTAAGACAATCCAGATAAAACAGTAAAAGATTAAAAATATATATAGTTTATTTTGTTTTAGAATCATTGATATGTAGGGGTGAGTATCCTGCATACCGTTCACATTTCTGTAGTTAAGACAATCCACATAGAATAGTACAAAAGTAATGTTTATTTTGTTTTAGAATCATTGCCGTAAATTACATTATCTACATTATTTACTTCATTTGTTATGCATGTGTAATCATCTTGTTTGTTTTATGTACTTAGTTTTTCGTATTATCTTAAATTACTTTTTTATCATCAGGCAATGTGTCAATATTCTACCATGATTTTACTTAAGTTTCTTTGTACCGTTGTTTTGTTTATCTATGCCTTCACGGTAGAAGACTAAGACACGGAAATTACACCATCACGAAAATGCTCTATCTGCGATACAGCACTGCCTTTACGCATTCGTTTGCATTTTGTTTGTTTGTTGTTCTACAGAAGCTGACAGCGACGGTCCGAGGTGCAGTCAGAACTGCCGTGCGTTCTGCAGGTCTCGTCCTGGGCGCATGGTGGCGCTTTGTGTTGGTGTCATCATTGCTGGTATTGCTGCAACTATCGTCGCCGTAATCCTCAACCGAGTACTGAGTTTTCACCCTAACGAAAACTCCGTGGTACGTTAGGTCAGCTAAGGCAAAATGATGTGTTTCCGGCAACCCTAACCCATAGCAAAAAAAAAAAACA